AATGCTACAAGTTCTTCAAATACCTATAGAATGATAGGTTTCTTTTTTGTGGGTGTAAAACACTTAAATACACCAATATTACAAAAGAAATAGTACTCACACTTCCTTCATTCAAAAGAGTCGTAGGAATAATATTTATATCTCCTTTATTCAGAATAATATTAACTCTATCAGACCCAGGTGTATTGAATCAAACCACCTGTTTTCTTTTACTGCATTGTGAAGAAGAAACTACAGGATATAGCAGTTTCAAACTTCAAATACATTTTCTAAAGATTATGTAGCTTTTGCTAGCATACTTACATTTATATTTGTTTAAATTCACAGCTTTGAAATCTCAAAAGATTTCATTGTGATAAATTTTTTTCAAGAAACAATTAAAAATTCAAACTTTTGCTGTCAATTTCAATTATTTTTATACCTTTTTACAATAGTTTAAAACTTATCTATAAAGTTATTATTTTTATCAAACTGTAAATTTTGTGTATGTTTTGATTTGGAAAACACTACTCCATGTTTTACTGTGTTTACAATTACTGGTGTAGAATAAAATTAACTTTATAAAAGACCAATCCAATTTTTTTAAATTATTAATCAGAAGGTTATATTTCATTTATATATTAAGTTTTAAGCCCATTTTATATTCATTTATATGTTTTTCAAATTCCTTCTGCTCATTCAAGCAGTTGCTTAGGCTTAACACAGCAAACCTGTCAGCAAAATGAAACTTGATATGATCAAGACAAACTGATTTAACTAAGCCTACCTCATCTTGTTGCACAAAAATAATATTTTCTGATCATACTACAACATCACGATTCAAATAAAGCACAAAATGATAAAGCAAGTTTTTGTGGCAGAAGTTGTTTACAAATATTTTATCATTTTGTTCTATTCTCCACTGATATGGAACTCACATTGTCTTATATAGTTGAAACAAACAGAAAAAGAGCTTTCATTACATGCTTATCGCATTTTACTAAACAATAAATTGTTCTTTGATACATTGTTTAAGAACAGTATTCATGATGAACTTTGGTTGAATGGAAGTGTAGAGGAAAACATTTCGAAAGTCTTCCACTTGGAAGACGAAAGGCAGAAGACTTTTTTGAAATGTTGCCTTCTGTACTTGTGTTTCTACAACAGGCAGTTTCCGTCCATTCAACTAAATTGCATCAATAAATTGTACTTCACTATATAATCACATATTGAAATCCCCCCTTTTATTTTGCTGGTGATGTCAAACATGGACTAAATCACTGGCTTCACTCCTTTCCACTTTCTTAAGTATCTTAGAAAAAAATACAAGTGAGGTGTGTTATAAACCACACTTAAATCATAGCTGTGTCACAAAGTCCTCAAGTTTCAGTCCACACCAAAGGGAAAGATTTTAAATTATTTTCCAAACAATGTTTTCTGTCAGTAGATTTACATTTAAAAAAAGCTAAAACTGTAATATAAAAACACTGAAAACTTGTAAATATAACAATTGATTCTATGCCATGTGGATCTTTACCAAAGATGGTTTGAATTTGGCATAAATGTTCTAAATTAAGCTATCCCCCCAAACAAAAAAAAGTCTGAATTCCTTTTTTTTTTCTATTGAACTCAGGAAGTTTAATGAAGATTTTACACATAAAATATAACCACTGACAGTTTGCTATTTTACCAATTAAAGCAATAAAATTTGACTTCTTCATCTATTAATAAATTACTTGCTTCTTCGGTCAGCCGCTAAAAGTTCAAACTGTTTTCCCCATAAACTGCTCCACTCTAACCACTGTATCTTACTTTATGAATTTTATTTGACAAAACCTGTCAAAGCCCAATTTAGACTCTCTTGTTCTTGCATCAGATACAGTTGGTTAAAGGCAGAATTTAGATGTGACTGTCAGCTTTGTTTAGTAAATCTTAGAAGAATTTAATTCCATCATCATTAACCTGTTGCCGATCTTGTCTTTAAAAAGCTGAATATTTTGGTATATCTAGTACTATTTCAATATACCTATCTTATAATATAAAAAATGACCATCCACCTATTTTGTAAGTAGAAGAACACACACACTGACTTACCCTTCTATTTTCATGATCTATCATAACGTTATGAGGTTTTACGTCTCTGTGCATAATGCCCATACTGTGACTATAATCCAGAGCCTATAGAAAAGAAAATTTTAATTGAAAACATGATTATAAACTTGAATCAAAAGGTAAAACTATAGTCATTTTAATATTTAATAAGAACTTAGTTTATTTCAAGACTACTTTCAGGTGCATTTGACTTTGAAGGCAAAACTGAATCAGTGAATTACAGAAAATAAGCTTGTACTCATTCTTCAACAGGTGTCTTAAAAATATTTCAGGGTTGAAATTCATCTCATGAAAAAGTTCTATTTATTTAATTTTATATATAAACAATTTTTAAATTCTAAATTTTGGTTTTGGATTGATTTCATTTGTCTCTGAACAAAAACATTAGTACTTGCACATTTTCTGAATTTCTTCTGAGCATATTATGACACTCATAGCCTCCTAGAAGGAAAATTGAAATAGTTTTCAATAAAATAGCACAAATTTGAGCCTTATACTTTTACCAATTTTATCCAATCTGTTCTTCAACCTTATTTGTAATGTGATGTAATTATCTATCTCTCAGCTCTAAGAAGACACAGGCTCTTTTTTCTGTTCTTTTCAGCTGCATAAGCCAATATGGCTTCTAGTTTAGAATACTTGCACAGAAATTGGAACAAAATGATAAAATGTTACTAGCAGAAAAGATGTTTGTGGACAAAATTACAATCACAATTCTTTTTTTTAAAGCTTGCAAAATATCATTTTTTAATTCATTTGAACTATGGTAGAAAATAAAGCATTTTTTTTGTAGAAGAAAATGAGTTAGGCTTAGTTTTGTTTCACCAAAAGGCAACTATTATTAGGCTGTATTTACATTGAGCCTTATTGGCTAAGTAACTTCTTGAATGGGCACAGAAAATCACTGAAAGTAAAAAAAAACATATATAAAAATGAATATAAATACAATGGGCTTCAAAATTATTACATACATTAAAAAAAACCTTCTCAACAACAATCTTTTAAAAAAAACCTTGCTTATAATTTTGATATGGCATAAACTGTTATTTTTATTGTACACCAATGATTGTAAATAAAATAAAACTGTCTGTTAAGATTTTCAAAACAAAGTTAAAATCTGGAGTTTCATAAAATAACATCTTCTTTGAATATTTGAAGCTGCAAATTCATAAAAATATCGTAAATAAAAGCCACGGTACTTTATTTTCAGAAGATACACAATTATGTATACAGTTCATCTCAAATATCAAACGATTTTATCCAGTTGTTTGTTTGGAATGAAATAAAACAAACCATACAAACAAGTGTGTTGAATCGACACACCAAAGTGTTTTAGGATTAATGAATGACTATTATAATTCAAAAAATGTAAACAATATTTATCAAACATCTTTATGTGATTATCACTCATAAGCTTTACAAGCTTTATCGTGTTTACTCGTGTGTTATTCCCATCATTTAATTGAAATTTGAGTAAGCAATAGAAGCACTAATTTCACACCAACGATTGATTTCTGTTAAGTTATCATCATCACACTGCCCTTAAATCTAACGTGAAGAAGAATTTCCCAGAAAAAATATTCCAGGCTTTTGGCAGAATTATACAAAAATGAATAAAGGTTCAAATATTCATAAATACTACGATATCTAAACCAATGATTAATCAAACTTCAAAAAAATCCGATGGGAATTAAATCTTTCACATGTAACACATCAAGAACTGTTAGAAATTTCAAAATGAACATGTTTCATTTCAAAGTTTTTGATTTATTTATTATTATGACAGATTTCTTGACAAACAATAACTGCTTTACATTTGGATGAAGTTATTTATTAAATAAAATAAAAACTTTCATTATATCTGTTGATAAAGTTTAACCTAATGAAAGATTGTAGTATCTGTTTTGTTTTAGTTCAAGACATCACATATGGACACTTTCTGAACTCAATCCTTATACAAAAACTTGTGCTTAGGTCTGTTAACATCTAATATGGCAGATGTTAAGAACAGTACACACAGCAGTAGTTCACTGAAGTTAACCCTACATCAAAATCTGTTAATGTCTGGTACGATAGCTGTCAAACAAATGAAAACAGTAAACATAGCAGTACTTACCTTCAGCAGTTCATAGAGGTAAAACCTGATATCAAAATCTGTTAATGTCTGGTACGACAGCTGTCAAACAAATGAAAACAGTAAACATAGCAGTACTTACCTTCAGCAGTTCATAGAGGTAAAACCTGATATCAAAATCTGTTAATGTCTGGTATAGCTGCTGTTCAAGAAAAAATAATGTTTAAAGAGTTAGGTGCCTGAAGTTTTATATAAAAAAAAAACAATATTATACAAAACCTGTCATTCAAACTATGTTAAGTATTTTTTATATTTTGTTTACTGTTCAAATAATTATAAAATTCAAATATAATAATGACATCTTTCTGACATTCACTACCAGAATTCAGTTTCACATTTTTAAAATCTCTGTAATATTTTCACTAATCTGAATGTTTAACAACTAACAGTTATAATGTCTGTTACAAACTAATTCGAAGTTTTACAATACAGTTTAACCAAGATATTTTGAACAAACCAATTTAAATTCTAAATGACACTTAAACACACACACAGTTACGTAAAAACATTTATATAAACAGTAACTTTTAAATGTTTATTATCAGAATAGCATACTTTTTGCTTAATACAGTTGGTTACAATTAAATTTGAGTTTTTAGGCAAATTTATCCAAGGTAGTCCTTAACTTTCCCATAGGAACGAAGCTTGTACAAAGAGTAAAATTGAGGCTTATGTATTCAGAACTCAACGTTATACAATACGGCATTTGATAGATGAAAACCTTGACTTTCTATTGGTTATAAGTAATGTATAATGAAACGTAAGAGAGAACTATCGATAAATTGTGAAAGAGAGGATGTGGCAGGTGGGTGTGGCAGGAGGATTCTGATTTTCGATTCGATAGCTCTGTAACCAAATAAAATTGAAGACTATAAAAATTATGGTTTGTCTGAGCAATGATGATTTTATAGAGAGTAACTTACATTTAATTTCATACTTTTTCGAGGGGCGTTGGATAAAATAGGGAAGATGACATGCTAAAAGAAAACATGTCACATGGGTCACACTAGGGGAAAATTCTGGATTTTTTTAATATTGCATTGTGTAATTAAGAACTTAAACTTATAGTATAACATATAGCTACATTTTATGCTATTCTAATTGGTATAATATAAACAAAAAGTAGTTTAATAAAATTTTGAATGTAAGATACTAAAACCTTGTGTCATGAGCAGTAAAGGATACCCGTGGCAATAGGGTTAAACATTGTAATAAGAGTGAACACTAAAAATAAGTACAAAATGGCAGGAATAGAAATGCATGTTCTTATGTATTGTTATAAAAAAGTAACAAATATTTAAAAACAAAAAACATTGAAAGTAGTGGAAGGTAAATATGTTCAATTTCCCAAATTTCTGACCCTAGAGAAACTTAATTTACATAATCTTATTTGTTGGTTACTTCCTATTCAACAACAATTTTTCCAAATGTGTAGGTCATTGTTTTTCTTATGGCAAGTATTGTGAAACTTCATCCATTTACCAGAGGCTCCAGGCCTTTGTCACACAATCTCAAACAAGCCAATATAACCAGCAGATATCATTCAAATGGTTTCTCTTCAAGCTGATAGGTTATGAGGAATCCACCTTCTCATCCTTTCAGCCAAATGTTTTGTTTCAAACACCAGAATTATTAGTTCTAGAAATAATGCCATTACAATGAATCACAGTTCAAAGAGCTATGCCATCAGCTATGGTTCCACAGTGTAGCCGCATAGCAATACACACATTTACCTTATACTGGTTTTTATTTTTTTCTAAACAGGACATATTTGTAAAAAACTTGCAAAAGATTTATTGATTGTCATGCCTTTCTAATAAAAAAAAAGTGACTGTACATCAGATAATAAAAAACATCAAAGTTTTGCAGAATCATGTAATTATCTTTGTGCTTCCAAGTTGGAAACGATTAATACTGTGCTATTTTATTCACCCTTTAAATATTTGAAGAAATCTCTGTCCATTTCTATATTTATTGAAGCTTATTTCTTCTAGCCTGGGCTTGGTCCCTGGGACCGACTTCATAACCATTTTGTGCTTGTTATAGTTTTCATGCTCTAACTTTTAAATTAGTAAGCAAATGTTAATGAAATTTGGCAGTTTATCAGTAAACATTACAATGATTTCATACACTAAATATCTCATTTTTTTTATCAGGTCTTAAGGTTTGTAAAGCAATGTTTTTCTCATGCCTTTTTTTCTTTTTGCATGTTGCCTGTCTATCATGCAAAGTAATACTCGTTTTAAGATTAAAAGTACTTTTATGAATGTCCGGATAGTTATAAAACAATTCATCTGTTATTTTCAATAATTAATCTCTGTACAGGTTCGGTAGATTTGGCCGATCTGCTTGACGTAGGTTGCTAAGCTAAAAATTTTGCATGTGGAGGATATGAAACAAAATATTTTTTTTAGGTTTTTATATATATACTTTTGAATAACTAAAAAAATCATAAATTACTACATCAATACCATAGAATTCTACTATAATTTATCAAGCTTAGTAACTAAGCTTTATTTGTGGGTCTAAAAAAAATATACACATTTCGAGCAGACTAAAGACACAACCTACCTCGTTGAAATCTTGGTTCAAAAGAAATGGCAGAAGGAACGTTAGAAAGGCTGAGAAAAACCACTAGGGGACATTCTGAGTTTCTGATTGGTTATTCATGTCATGTATAGAAGTAAGTGTATATGAGGGCACTTTTCCGAAAATGGAAAGAGGTGGGCAGGGTGCCACTGTGTTTGATTTATTATGTGAACAATAACTTAGCAAATAGAAAATATAAGACCTTCTTATTTTATATTCAAGCTTGTCAATATCTGTAATTTAAGTTTCTAATTCGTATGAAACTATAGACTTAGTATTTTGACATCACAAACATCTAATTTGAACCAGTGCTGCATTCAGCATACCACGTGACACACAAAAATCGATGTTTATCTGTGTTTTTATAATATTTACTTCTAAATTAACAAATTGAGTATGCTAAAAGTACATCGTGTTTTAAAGCAAACATTTCATTTTTTACAGAGGCTTAGTAGGTTATATATTAAAACAATTTATGAGTCACATTGTGTTGTTAAGCCCATATTGCCTCATCTGGTCATGCTCTATCCATCTTGACAATAGCACTGCAGCATAGTTTCCATTGTGAATGGTTCTGCTATAAGACCGTTATACCTTTCCCCACTTACTTGCCATAATTCATCTACTGTACAAGGAAGATGACTTCCCAGTGCTCATTTCAACAGTCCAGTCACACAGAAATCCATAGGTGCTTCATATGGCAATGTGACCAATATGTCTTCAAATGGAAATGAATGAATACACAACTCTACAGCTGTTTGAGGTATGCATCAGTTTAACAGATATGTTATGGATGCAACTTGTGTTTTTCTTTCAGTTGGAAATACTTCTAGATTAGGTTGCATACTGTTTTCTGGGGCATGTAGATGGTTTTTACCACTGACCTTTTCATTTGTGGATTCTCACCTACTACAACACAACACTGCACTTTTCTTTCAACATCAGAGGTACGACTTGTTGCAGGTCTCTTCCTGGATGGTCCTGATTTCCCAAATTGATCCATATTCCTTTGTTTACCAATGCCATTAAATATATCCCCACCTTGGAATTTTAAATTCCTGATCTGAACACATCATTATGGTCTGAGTTTATGAATATTTTTGTCAGAAAATGCTGTTACATACTATTCCTAAAAGTGATAAATTTTTTGATAGCATCATGCTACCAACGAAACACCAGGCAACGTCTAAATGTAGTTTTAATACATCCAATTCCAATGCAACTTTATAGCATCTACTGTTTGCATATTCAAAATTATTTTAATATAATGCCCTCCACTTTCTGTACTCATTAAACAAGTGAAAAGAAAGTCATTTGTACCCCTCAATCAATACAGAAATTTTGCAACTAAAGAAGAGATCTTAAAGACAACAATAAACCATAAAATGACAAAGCATTTATGCTGTTAACAAAAAGTTAATGACTGTATGTCATTGGCGTGCATACAAAGGCAGACCATGACTTTTAACATAGCAAACTTCATAGTTTTCAGCTTATGACATGAATTTAAAAGATGAATTTGGACCTCAAAAGCAAAAAGGCTATAAACTTCTTGCAGAAAAGTGTTGAATTAAGTATACTAAGCTGTCCACACAAAATAATCTAGTAACTTAACATCTCAGAGTACTTTGGAAATAGTAACAAATTTATTTATTTTTTTCAATGAAACACTTACCTTAAAATCTGTATTGTTAATATGCTCAAAAATCAGTGCTGGAGTTCGTGACTGTAACACAATAATATCAAAATGAGTAAGACAGTTTTAATGAATCTCCATATTAAGTTATGTTTGAAAATTTAGATATCTTATGAAAAAAAAAATTTCCAGTGTTCAAAATTTTATATGAAATTTTCAATTTTATTGCACATGATATAGGTGTAATTTTTCTAAACAACATGTGAAAAAATACTTGAAAGATTATAAGGATATATTCTAACATTCAGAAATAGAGAATTATACAAATAATAAAGTAAAATTCAATACTTACAACAGGGTCTTTAACAACAGCTTGCAAGTTAATTATATTGGGCCCTCCTCTGAGATTTTCCAAGATCTTGATTTCGCGTTTTATTTTCTTCTTTTTTACAGGCTGAAAACACAGATAATAATAAGATTCCCTTTTTTTTAAAGAACAACCTGAAGAAATACTACAGTAAATATAAAGACAGAGTACACAGATTTGAATGAAAATACATATTATTATATCAACTCTCATGATGTAGTTCTCTAGACAGGATGGCTTGAACATTGAGCCATTAGATGTGAAACACCTTCACATACTTGTTTGTCACACGTGTGTAAAAAAAGCTTAGATGTACTAGCCAGAGGCTAGAATATACACGAGAAATGCACTAGCCCAGAGTGAAATTCAACGAGTCCAATTATTATTGTTCTGTTTTCACTATAATGACTAAATTATTATTCAATTCAAAATATATATGCATCAATATTCATTATAATGACTCATTCAGTAGTATTAAAAAACTAAAAATAATATTATTTACTATAGCAGATGTAAAATCAACGGGTAGGTTATCCAGTCTACGTACGTGATAGACTGGTATTCGCGATGTATTGAAAATAATGGATTTAATTCACAATTATATAAAAAGGTAAAACTCTGTGAAGATTATTGTGTCTACATGTATGATGAAATCAAAACAACCACATGGCAGTCTAACATTCAGAACATCTTGGCCTTTTTTCTGTCATACCTGAGGAAAAGGCTGTAGAATTCTTAGTGCATGGTCCGGGTCATTTAGCCTAAATACAACTCATGTCAATACAGCTTTGAATTTAAAAAAACAAGCATTCCATAAGAGGTTATCATTTTCAAGTTGTTGGTGGAGTATATGTAGTGTGATGGGTTTTATACACCAAAGCTGATCATGTCTTGTTAGATTATCATGTTTGCTTTTATAGTATCTCCAAAGTGAACTGAGATCATGACATTTAACGATGTTTTACCCGTTAATGGTAATATCATATCTACCAGATATTTACCTAAGGAGTGACACAGTGAATCACTGCAAGAAATTATGGAACAGAAAGGGTAGCCTTGTTTCTGAATTTTATCTAAACTATAGATCTATGGGATGGTGCTGAGGTGAACTGTTAATTGCTTGTTTCTCTTCCAAGTTCTTTTGGATGTTTCTTGAGGAGTTAGTTAATTTTCTTCTATGTTTTAGCAACTGACTTAGACTTGACCTTTCTCTAGTGGAAGATTGAATCTCGACTACTACCAAAACAGAAATAATCCTACTCAGGACTTTCCTGAACATAGCAGCTGAAATACAGAATTAAAACTAGTGAGTATTTAGTATTAGTTATAACCGATTAATAATTAATAATTAGACCCAGATGATCATATAGGCTACTAACCATGACGATGTCTGATGTCCATCTGACACAATCTTACTGTAAGTACTTAAAAATGATAAAGTTTGTATCACGCTTTTAGGAGGAATGTTTTACTGGTTTCACACGTAGTAGTTTGAGTTGTTAAAAAGTGACTTACTAGCAAGTGCTAGTGGGTTAACCCTTTAACTCAGTTGGTAGAGCACTCGCCTAACCTACGAGAGGTCTTGGGTTCATATCTGAGGCAAAGATATAGATATCGTGAAAAGATAAATAACTACACACGATATACAATTCAATCCTTAAGTACGTATGGAAGAATAAGGCTAAAAGCTATTAAAATAATATGATCAAAACCTTATAGAAAACTAACATTTTTTTTATAAAAGTATTTTCATTCTCGGTTTTAAAGCCTCATTACATAATAAACATATTATTAGACTACAGATAGCATTTACTTTACAAATTTTACAAGTTTGAAGATAAACCCAAAGCACATGAACCCCTGTTTAGGAAAACTAATAGTTGATTTGAATACCATCACAGAAGCTTAGTTTTAATAATTTTTCTTTAGTTGTAAGCTTTACTTTTTTAACTACTTTGCTTTAATCATAGATTTAACTGCAGTTATAAAAGCTAAGTTTTAATCATTTCTTAAGTTGTAGGCTTTACAGCAATCATGAAAGCTTAGTTTTTAACTACTGCTTTAGGTATAGGCTTTACTGCAGTCAAGAGAACTTAGTTTTAAACTACTTTGCTTTAGTGCAAATTTTACTAGTCTCAAAGCTTAGTTTTGAACAACTCTGCTTTAGTTGAAGGCTTCACAGCAGTAACAAAAGCTTAGTTTTGAACTACTTGGCTTTAGTTGTAGGCTTTACAGCAGTAACAAAAGCTTAGTTTTGAACTACTTTGCTTTAGTTGTAGGCTTTACAGCAGTAACAAAAGCTTAGTTTTGAACTACTTTGCTTTAGTTGTAGGCTTTACAGCAGTAACAAAAGCTTAGTTTTGAACAACTCTGCTTTAGTTGTAGGCTTTACAGCAGTAACAAAAGCTTAGTTTTGAACTACTTTGCTTTTGTTGTAGGCTTTACAGCAGTAACAAAAGCTTAGTTTTGAACTACTTTGCTTTAGTTGTAGGCTTTACAGCAGTCATGTAAGTTTAGTTTTCAACCACTTTAAAAACTAAACTTACATGACTGCTGTAAAGCCTACAACTAAAGCAAAGTAGTTCAAAACTAAGCTTTTGTTACTGCTGTAAAGCCTACAACTAAAGCAGAGTTGTTCAAAACTAAGCTTTTGTTACTGCTGTAAAGCCTACAACTAAAGCAACCACTTGTTTTGGTTGTAGGATTTAACATTCTCATTTGAGTATATTATTTTAGTCACTTTTTGTAATTTTAAATTTTAACTACAGATTATATTACTTAGTTTTAAAAATGTAACCATATTTTGAATATAATTATATTTAAGCTTTTATAATGAATTTCCTTTTAAATAGAGTTTTGTTTTGTATCTAAATTATATTATTGCAATTTCCACATCCTAATTTTAATAGCTTTAAACATTGATCTTCGTTGATATATCTAAAGAGTGACACATCATGAAAGCAGTAAAACATCTCTGTTACAGTTAACCACAAACTGGGATTATACAGTTTGTTGGAATAATTTCAAAGTTGATATTTTAAGGTTAGATTTTTATGTTTTATAATACAATTTTACAATTCAAATTTAGTTCTTTTAAAAGAGAAAAATCTGTAAAAAAAAATTAAGGCTAAAATGTCTAAAATACAGCTTTTCCAAAAAATAAAAACTTTTTTTTATGTTAATCTTGAATAAGCTTTATAAATTTTTTAAAGTAGTGACATAAATTAAAATTTTATTATTTGCCAAAATCTTATTCTTTGTTTGTTTAATCATTATTAATTAAACATGAAGTTTTAGTTTTCAAAATTTGTTATATTAAAATGTATACTTCTTTCATCAGTAATCACATTAAAAAACTAAACAAATATTATTTATCTACATTAGAATCCTGCTACAGTGAGTTAACCATATTTCACAGTTGTCAAAATTGTTTATACAACCATCTAGTTAATTTTTTGTCCATGCTGTAACAGACAATGGACAAGGCTCAAAACACACTGAATAAGTTTTAACTGAGTTTAATATATAACCTTAGTTGTGACGAGACTTTTTTTTCACAATTTATAATCAAGCGATTTGATACACATTCATACCTTTAAAATTTTCACCACACACTTTTCATTATTGGTTATGTTAACAGCTTCAAACACTTCACTATACTTCCCTCTCCCCAACTTTCGCACAAGCTGGTAGTCATCTTGATTACTGAAAAGTTCAGCATTAATCAATATTTAACTTGTACTGAAAACCATATGCTAAGAAATCCTACAATTCTATATTTTATGAATTTATTGTTGTAATGAGTTTATTAGTTCTAATATAGAATTGTTGGATTTACCATATTTATTAGTTCTAGAGTTTATGAATTTATTGTTGTAATATATAGAATTGTTGGATTTACCATATTTATGAATTTATTGTTGTAATCTCTAAAACTAATAGAAATGGTAAATCCAACAATTCTACAAGTGATAACATAATATGTTCAGCAACTCTATAAAAAAAACACCATATCAATTCCAGTATATAAAAAAAATAAAACATCCAGGAAATCTGAAATGTTCACTTTACATCTACACTTATTCCCTGGAAGCACGGTCAAAGAAAACATTAGGGATGAGAGAAACATTCACAAAGTTTGGCTAGGAACAGCGGATATCTCGTATATTAGCAGTTTCGAAAAAACACCTTAGCTAGATACAAGTGAAGACGTACCTCAAGTCAGTATCATTAATTAACCAGAATGATAGTTTCTATGGGATTGTGGTCAGGAGATATCACTATTATAAGTTATCCAAATTAGTAGTTTGACTAACATTTCTGAAAGTGGAAAAATACACTAGTTAAGATGAGAGGAATATGTTATCATCATCAGTAAATGAGTTGAATAATTGTCCAAAGGATCAAATAACTCAACAATGAATGGACACTTGTAAGTTTAGCATTAGAGATCAAAGGGTGATTAGGTAAATGGGTGTAAGTCAAACATTCAATGACCAAAGAAGTTAACTGATCCCACTGAAAACAGCGCCACATGGCATCTAAAACAAGTTCTTGTGGGGGAGTACATATTAGCCATAGGGCGTGTCACCCCACAACAGAAACTTATTGTACCATAGGATGATCAGCAATGATTGCATTTAAAAATATTGAATATAAAAGCTGTTGTTAAACTAATCTAGTGAATTAGCATACGTAGTCAATCAAGGTTTGGTTTGGTTTTGAATTTAACGCAAAGCTACACGAGGGTTATCTGCACTAGTCATCCCTAATTTAGCAGTGAAAGACTAGAGGGAAGGCAGCTAGTCATCACCACCCACCACCAGCTCTTGGAATACTCTTTTAACCAAAGAATAGTGAGATTGCCCGTCATATTATAAAACCCCCATGGCTGAAAGGTCAAGCATATTTGTAGGATGGGGATTCGAACCCACAACCCTCAGATTATAAGTGTCCTAATCACCTGGCCATCCCGGGCCCTCTAGAAAAGGCAACAATAACATATCCACCAATTCTAGCAGACATAATTCTAGAGATAACAAAACATGTCAGTTCTAAAAAAGGCAAAAATAACATATCCATGAATTCTAGAAAACAGTTAAATATCCAACAACTGTAGAAATAATGAGCCATCCACAAATTAAATAAATAAAACACATAAGCAATTAAACTTTTGGTGTCTAATTCTGTGATACAAGTAATATGATACACACACACACACACGTACTGAACTTTTATATAATCTTTAATAATGTGCATATGAAACTTCCGTATCTAATCCTGAAATAATATGTTATGAAACTTGCATATAAACACTGTTTTTGAAAAACTTTCATAAACTAATATCTCCTTTTGGCTTTACAATATTTAATACAATGAGCGTACCTACCCCCACTCAACGACATGAGATTCATAATCCCAGTAATCTTGTGATCTGTGGGTATTAGCTTCTGAGTAAACCCGGGCCCGACTGGGTAATGGCATGTTATTAACTGCATAAAAAATAAAGGAAAAAACTGCTAACGATATAACATTAATTAAAACTAGAAAATTTAATGTTATTTCTTAATATTGTAAAAATAAACTGAGTTGAAAGAACCATATAAACAAGTTCAAATACAAATACATGTATATTAATCTGCTTAGAAACAGAGAATTCTATTACTAATTATGCTCACAAGTAAAAATTATTGATGAAAATATATCTGTTATAGACATAACTAAAATATATTATAATAAAATAATAATTCCACAATTTAATCAAGCAAAGTGTAAGAAAACAAAATGCTTGGAGTTTTGGAAGCATTCAAAGAACTTGAACCTTTCAATATTTACAGATTAATTTAGACAACTTATTACACAAGTTTTTCTCATTTCTGTTTCATTTTTCTTAATGCTTTACTGATATATTCATTTTGGAATAGTTTTATAACCACCTTTATTTTATTTTGCTACTATTTTAGTGAAAAGTTTCTATTTGTCTTAACTCAATAACCAATATAATACACCTAACTTGTCCCATTTCTACTTTTATCATCATAATGTTGTTTTTGTGGCAAGCCATGTGGTCATATTTACCCAAGCTTGATCTATCTCCTTGTTTTTTTTACAAGTCACATCTTCTGAAAATCATACTGCATATGCTATGCTACTAAGGTCTACACACACACATAAACAAACAACATAATTGTTTCTAATCACAACTCTCAATAACCATAGTTGGATGGAATCAAACAAATTATGACAGTTTTAACTTAACATTTAAAAACAACAAGGGACCAGTTGGTCCACCTAGGCTGCTCCATCCACTAAACTATCAAAATAAAAACTCAAAGCCAGCCTATATCAATCAAATATTTATCAAGCCTTCGGCTTCCACCATAACTGAAAGTAGCCCATTCCAAAGACTTACCACCCTGTTAGAAAAATAAAACTATTTTAGTAGAAGATTATTCCTACACTGCCAAAATATGTATTTATGTTCCCAAGTCCTATCATTCACACCATTAAGAATAAAAAATACAATTCATTGAATTTATCAATTCCATTAACAATCTTAAACACATCAATCTGATCTCATCTCCTTTTTTTCAAGAGAAAAGAATTTCTAAGATATTAATCCAACATTTCCATCCCAGCCATCATATTAGTAGCCCTTTTCTAAACCCTTTCCAACAATTCAATGTCCTTCCTAAAGTAAGGAGCCCAAAGCCAAACACAATAATCCAAATGTGATCTAAACCAGTTACCTTTACAACAGACTAATAAGCCTATAATTACTGGGGAAATGTTTTATTTACTTCGAAGAACAACATTAGTCAGCATCAAACAACCTAACACTTGCCCACTATTCAAGAAGTTACAAAAAATAGTAGCAAGTGACTCAAACATCAATCCCTAACCTCCTTTAAAACCCTTGGGGAAATAAAATCCGGCCAAGGGCTTTATTATTCTTTAACCTTCCCAATGTTTTTTTAAGAAGCTCAGAATTAATGAGATCATCTTGTTCAACCATTTTTCCATCTGGCAACTGTTCAAGATGAGAAATATTGCTTAAATGTTAATTAGTAAAAAGTAAAGAAAAAGTTAATTTAATAACCCAGTCATCTTATAATCATTAGATATGAACCCTCTTTTTATGATTCCTCAAAGGCCCTACTCCCATCCATATGTATTTAAAGAATTCCTTACTGTTAATTTTTACAATGTTTTCAGTTAACCTTTTCTCCACTACTCTTTTTGATTTCCTGTTTGACCAACTCTTTTTATCTTCCATAATATAAGTTTATGATCATAGCAGTCAAATTACACTACTTAAATTTATGGTGTTTTTCTTTAATTTTATTCCTTATACCCTTTGATAGCCAACCTGGTTTTTTTTTTACTTTCAGCCACCCTTTATTTTTTTATAAGAAATATGATTATCTTGAGTATTTTAATTATTCTAGACCTTAAACTACATAAAATTGAAAGTACATTAACGGATAAATGATTCTCTCATTAAGAGATCTAACACGGGCCCACACTAGTCACATTCTCCCCAGTTATCACTATTTGCATTTTTACCAATAAGCCAATTTTCTATCAATCTTTTTTTTCAGTTTCTGCCCATTTCTTATGTGCCAGCATTACTAATTAATAATCTCTTGTTGGCTAATTTATTAAAAACTACCTAAAAGTCAAAGTATATAACATCAATCAAGGTTTCATCCAAAAACAAAAAATCCCTATAAAAAATTAAAACTACAGCAAGGTAGTTACATGAAATTCCTTTTTTAAAAACCATGATTAAATTTCTTTGACAAATAAATATTTCCCATACAATTTCTAACATCAGATTCTAATACAGTAAGACCCCATTTTAAGCTGATTCGTTATAGAGCTCTTGTCCCCTTGAGAGATTATTTTTTTTCACAAGAGAGAAATAAAGTCATGAAAATCCATAACTCTCTGAACACTACTTTTTCATACTAATGGTAGTAGTGCAGTAAATAATTTTTATTTAATAAATAATACAATAAAAACATAGACTAATAACATACAAAAAGCAGACAATGTTCCGTAACTATCACAATGTTTGTGGAGTTTCTAGAGACGCAATATAAACCATTAAAACGTCATCCATCTACACAATATTGTTCCCATGGAAAAAAAAAACATTTTCTTAGGAAGTAATCTACAAATCTCTGTACTGAAAACAATGTAATATAACAAATCATTTGATAGACGAAAACCTTGCCTGTCTATTGGTTATAACTAATATAGTCGTAAACATAAGAGAGTACTACACGTATTGACAAATCCTGAAAGAGAGGATGTGAAAGGTGGGCATGGCAGGAGGAGTCTGATTTTCTATTTGATGGCTCTGCAACCAAACAAGATTGAAGGCTAATAAAAATTGGCTTTTTCCCAGTCAGGAAGGGTTCCGGAGAATAGAGCTCTAAACAGGGTCATTTTAACATTACATATATAGAGATATGTAACTGATGGCATTGTTTCTTACCTGTGAATGATGTATGAGTGATTTATTTAGGTACTGGTAAATTTAACGTAAATTACTATATTATTGTCATCAGCACTAAATGGGGTATTACTGTACTCATGGTTATTTGTTGCTATCCCTAATATCTAGATGTGATAATATAAGACTTTTTTTTTAATACAGTTAATATGTTTTATTAAAACTTTACATGCTACAAGTAATACAAAAAATCTTTTGGGTTGCAATCAAATACGTTGGTTGAATATTTCTACATTTCACATTTGCTTAAGTTATCAGTAAATCATGCACACTAACATAAACACACATATGTATGTGCATATATATCTTTTATATGGCTAAATAGAAAATACATTAGTGCTTAGTGAATACCTAAGAAGAACCAGAAATTTATCTTGATACACGAGACAAAACCAAGGTGGACCTCCTGGATGTTCAAGACAACACTGTGTGAAACACCTAAAATGTTCTCAAAACTGTGTGAAACACCTAACAAAATGTTCTCAACACTGTAAAACACCTAACAAAATGTTCTCAACACTGTAAAACACCTAACAAAATGTTCTCAACACTGTAAAACACCTAACAAAATGTTGTCAACACTGTGTGAAACACCTAACAAAATGTTCAAGTCAACACTATGTGAAACACCTAACAAAATGTTCAAGTCAACACTGTGTGAAATACCTAACAAAATGTTCAAGTCAACACTGTAAAACACCTAACAAAATGTTGCCTGTCAAAGTAATATGCCTCATCTTTTCCCCCCTTGTTTATCCATCAAGGAAAGAACACAAATATTGAGTTCAAACTAAAACCTGTTCTTGCAGATTCAATACACATAAAACTGAAATGAAATCTCGTCAGAAACCGGACTGGACAAACATACTGGATACTTTGTACTGAGAAGAAGTCGTTACAAGTGTTAGTCACAACAGAATTCATAAATATAGGGCAGTTAATGACTAAAACCAGTGAGAGATAAACACAATTCTCGATGAAAAAACCAACCCATGAAAGCTCTGTGTAATTAACACAAATACATTAGTTTCACAAAACTCGTAACTAATGTTACTAAATTGCCTGGAACCTTAAAATCATGAATAAATAACCCAATAAAATCAAAATTATTGTGTATATATTAATTTATCAATTTGTATAATCAGGTGTCAATGATATTTTTATTCACTCTATACATAAAACAACCTTTTCTTCAAATCTCAGTAAATTAATCGCTAGTGTTGCTTAAGATATAAACTCAGAAATCTTCCAATTTAGTCCTCGTCACGGTTAAAAGCCTTCGATTTCTCTCCAAGTTTAAAGCCATTTTGAATAAACATACCATCAACCTAAATTTAGCTAATCACAACTGTCTTTACAAGCATATAACGAGCATAAAAAACATCAAATTAAACACCAGAAAAGATGGTATGTGGTCCCAACTTATGTCATAAAAATGTAAATTCATAATTATAAAAATGTTGTTACTTTGGTTACTCAATATTTTAACTAGTCTATATATATATTTGGATATAAATAAAATATTTCAATGTGTTGACATTAAACCCAACCCCCCTAAACAATGGTATCATAAAAACAGGCATTTTTTAACAAAGAATAACATTATATCCTGGGGGTCATGGCACCAACCTTTCTATCTTATCAAAGCTTTTGTTAATGAATCTGAGACCCCCTGTCTTTCCAGCAGAAACAACAACAAAAAAAGTCATTATGGATGAGTGTAATTGTTTTAGTACACACCTAACCACATACTATTTTTATGTCTGTACGAATGAAGTACTCCACTATCCTTTCTAACAACTCTGGTGTAAAGTTTCTACAAAAAGTTCAAACAAGTAAATCTCTAGAAGAATTTTGGACAATGGTTTCATTCTACTTCACATGTAAGATCGTTTTTTGTACTGTTATGTTTTTAAGAATATGTAAAACCAGCTCCACGGCAATAAAAAAAAACAAAGATAGCGATGAAAA